GAATATTCAAAATATGCTGCATGTATGACATGTCTAAGTGTCCTAAAATTGAGGCATAGACATTTTTGTATTTTATTTTTTTTTATCTGTCTTTATCATCTTTATCCTCAGGGGTGGGCAATTCCAACCCTTGAGGTCCACTGTCCTGCACGGTTTAGCACCATCCCTAAACAATCATATAATGCAATTTATGTACCAAAATATAATTTTTTTTATGTAATCCTGAAGACTTTTGTCAGATTTTTCAGATGTGTTTGATCAGGGTTGAAGCTAAATGCTGCAGGATGGTGGCCCTCTAGGAGCAGGGTTGGACACTCCTATTCTACCATAAAATGAGCTGTGTGAAACCCTGCAAGAGAAAAATCTAGTTAAAAATGCAAAGATGTCAACTAAATGTAATATTATCCGTTTTACATGCAAATATTAACATTTGCACAATTTTGAAACTCAAAATAAATAGAAAGGGGATTGTGTACGGGGGGTTGGCTAGAGGCCAGGAAGGCCTATAAGGCTCTTCCCTAAGGGCCCCTGACCCTGGAATGCGATTTCTACTAAGGGGGATCTGCTCTCCTTGATGCGATTTGTTTTTATACCCTAATCAGGCAACGTATCTCAGGAGATACGCATATTTCAAAATGCGATAAAAAACAACACGAACAACATCTCAAGATAATGTTCACAATTAATACTAATAGTTGTATTGCATTTTTTTGCTGAAAAAAGTCAGATTAATATATGCCTACTTTCTACATTTTCTGAATGTCCAGCTCCATGGGCGGACATGTTGGCTTTAGGTCAAACTAACAAAACGAGCACAGAAAATTTTAACTAAGTGATGTGACCCCCATACTCAAAAAAAAAACTCAGTTATGATAATGATAACAGTATTGAATGAAAAATTATTCCTCGTGCCTCCTACAAGAGACTAAAGAATATGTATCTCGTGGTACACGTTGCCTGTTTTAGGGTTAATGAACTGGCAAATAAATTAGTTGAATTAATGACAAGAGTATCTCACATAATATTATGTGCACTGTACCGAGGAAGCTTGATAGTTTTATTATTTGAACTGATAGCACAGAACACCACATTGTTGTACTGTATATGCACACAAATGAGGCTTCAATAAAATAACTTTTAACACAACTGATTGCAAAGACATGACAGCACTATACATTTCAGAATGTGGAAAAGTGCCCAGGGCAAATGTAACTGGAGCATGTAAGAGATGGCTGTTTGTTTTGTATTGCGTCAGCTAGTCAGTTTTGAACTTGTTTCTTTGCAAGCTAAGTGTGTTTCCCCAAAGGGATTTTTCTAGATATTACAACAATTTACGTGTGAATAAGAGAGTTCTCACAGTCATGACTTATTGACTGAAGCTGTATTATTAATTGGGTTTTATTTGTTGTTTATTGATTGGGCATCCGCATCTGCTTATCCATGCTATATATTTTCAAGCACACAAATTATATTTAAGTGCCTTGTGAGGGAAATAAATGCCTTACACCTTTGCCGCAATATTCATGTTTATTCCTTTTGTTTATCTACTAGTGCCTATAAGACATTTTGTGATGTGATGGAGATGAAAGAAGTAAAGATAGCTGGAGTACAACACTGACATTTATCTACAGAGCTCTGGACAGGAAGTTGAACAAACAATCAGGAGAAGCAGGTGTCATTTGATGGACAAAGCTGCCAGCACAGGCTGCTTGTCAAGAGAGTAAACAAAGAGAGAGACAGAGAGAGAGGAAATGACATATTCAAATTGTGCTGAGAGACAGATTTTAATTTGCTTGTTCTCTGACTCCTTTCAACTGCTGTTCTCTGGGCAGAGCGGAGGGGTGACAGATCTGGTGCTGGAGTGGTTCACCAAATTATTTGATAAGAGCTGGAATGGATTTGTGTAACTCTGTAAAGAGCTATTATATTATATTATACTGTATATATAATATGCAATATTAGAATGTTTGCGTGAGCAGGCAGTAATGGTCAGAAGGGTATATATATATATATATATATATGAAGAGGAGACGGGGGCTAGTTGTTCTATTCTAATGACTACTCGCAAGGTTTACTTGTGAAAATCAGTTTTTGTTTAGGCTGCAATTTATTACTTACATTTATTAAAACAAGTATCAAATTGAAATTATGTATAAAAATAAAAAATGAATGTAAAAAAAGAATTGGCCAATAAATATCATAGTTAATATTAGTGTATAGTATAGTTGTAAATTATAAAAGCACATGATACAACTTGCCCCAACCTGAAATGTATGAAAAAAATACTTTTTCTTCAGAAAGAATTCATAAATTGACAGTAAAAACATTTATAATGTTTATATAATAATTCTATTCCAAATAAATGCTAAAGTTCTTTTGAACTTTCTGTTCATCAAAGAATCTTGAAAAAAGGTTTCCTGGTTTTCAACATTGATAATAATGAGAAATTAACTGGAGTGATGGTTCCTGAAAATTCAGCTATGCCAACATGACTGGAATAAATTACATTTTAAAATATATAAAACTTGAAAAAAGTTATTTACTGTATTTAACTGTATTTTTGACTTAGTCTTGGTGAGCATAAGAGACATCTTTTTAAAAAAATTGAAAACATGAAAACTTAACAAACTCTAACTGCATTGAACAGTAGTGTATGTGACACCTCGACTTCCCTGTTATATAAATATTTTATTTTACATTGCAATTTATCCAGCCTTTTAACAGAATAAAGCAAAAAAAATGCCATAGCCAGATCAGGATGTGTTGTGGTAGCTCGCTCTTGTCATGCACGTCCGAGCATTCTCCTCTTCCGACATCTTTTACCTGCTCTGATTGAGTCTTTTTTACAGGTCAATCCTCATGAACCCAGCCTGTCTGCTTTGATTTTCCCCTGTTCAGTCCTACTCGGGCACGTTCACGGACGCCTGCTCCACGCAGAAGAGGAAGGACGAGCAGGCACTCTGCAGAATCCTCTCATTAAGATGACAGGCCCAACCATGACAACAATTAACTCCATTCAGCCACAATTCATCCCTCTTTTCAGGGTGCACAGAAGAGATGAGAGGAGACATGCTGGTCAGACTTAGCTGAGTGTTAGCCGCGCTTTGTGAAGGATAATCTGAGGTACTGACGAAATGAATGACACTGATGGAGGTCTGTCCGCAGCATATCCAACAGGATATCCCATTCTAGGGACGGACTGGCCATAGGGAGCACCAGGATTTCCTGCTGGGCTGGTCAACATATGGAGTGCTGTCAAAAAAAGAGAAAAGTACAAAGTAATTATACAAAGATTTTAAAGCAGGACAAAAAGCCCCATCCGTACAGGCCTTTGCAGTACAATTTGCCCCAGATACCTGGTTATTTAAAATGCCTAATTACGAATTATTTGGGCCTATATGATCAAATTGCATTCCCTTTTGCTCGTGTAAACGCTTAAAATTATAGACATTACTAAACATCATCTTCACGTAACAGCATAGAAACAAGGAGTTTGATACCAAAAAGATTTTCTTTGCCTGTGTGAATTTTTATACCTATTGTTTTTGGCTGTTGTTTACCGTTTTAAGAGCGAAGAAAATGTTGCCTGAAATTATGGATACCTTTGTTTTTTGTTATGGACTCCTCTGATAATGAGTTTCAACACCTCAATGCATTTCACAATTAGTTGAATTGTTTTCCCTGTCATTTCCAATTATTCTTACCATTAAAATGTCCATGACAAACCAACGGAATAGAACTTCCAACATTCCGATGAAATCTTCAGTTCATCACCATAATCAAGCATGTAAAACACAAACAGTGTTTACACTACCATACCACTTCAGATCCATCATCTGGATATATGACAATTATCGCTATAATCCAAGCTAATTATGAATATTTGACTGTGTTTGATTCACAGCCTTATTAAAAATTCATGGTGGCTTATGATGGTTTCTGCTACTCAAGGCATGATATTATATATATTGCATTTAGCGTATTATATATATTGCATTTAGCGTAACTCCATCATTACATTACATTAGTTTTCAAAAGTTGTAATCAAAGGAAATGCAAAACAAAAATGTATTTGCATTGATGCTGGTAATTATAGCAATTAAAAATTTGAATGGAACTTAATTAAACGTGTCCTGTCATGGTACAGTGGAAAAGCAGACTAATGAAACAATTCTCTGTCCCGATAACAAACCCCCAAATAAAAGTTCTCAGAAACACTATTATTATTATATTTACATTTAATTATTTATCAGTTGTTCTGCATTAAATACACAAACAGACAGCTAATCCAAAGAAACAACAATAATAATAATAATAAAGAAAAAGAAACACCCCTACTTGCTGGAGAAAAAAAATATCCATATAATATTCATAATAATACACGTTTCTGACCTAGAGACTTTTCTTTGGATCTTCTATCTTAGTCAAACACCATTTTAATAATAAAATGACACTTAGAGAAACTTGATAAATAAATACAAAATCTATAAAAACATAAATAGGCCTATGTAAATCAAAGGCACATATCATGCTGTATAAACAAGAAGTGGTTTTAGGCCAGGGCTTGTGCTTCACTAGAAACTAAACGTAACCAGTTTATCTCTGCTTGGTTTTTTACAACCACAATATCCCTTGATGATTCACTGAATTGTCTGGATAAATAATCGTTATAATCGCGTGCTTTCTAGTATTGCCCAATACAGCTTGGTGTTAATATATTACCTTCATGGCTTATTTAACGCACATAAAAAAAATTCCCCACGCAGATCACACAAAACATGACTCAAGGCCACATCTTGCCACATACAGGGCTTGCCAGTTTACAGTCTGCTATCAAAATGCAGTCACTGTTACCAAATAGAATTCTCAGTATCCCACAGAAAAAAAGAAGCACTGTTTCTTTTATAGTCATATTCAAACACACATCCTGTTAAAGGATCGCAGCTGCTGGGTGTGTGTGCGCGAGCCAAACGGCATTTTAACCCTGTTGCACAGCTGGGCGAACGCGCATGCGCACCAAAAACTGGGTGAAGTACCCAAACTCGCAAATAACTTTTCGAAGAACTTTTCAAACAATGACACCGGTCAGTTTGTTTTAGGGGCGGCGTGAAACGGATAAGTGAAGAAATCAGATGTAGTGACGTTGCATATCCTATGTTTCACAGGAAGATGTTGAACTTTTCTGCAACGCTATAAATTGGATCATGTTGCGCCAGACCGGGGGACACAGCGCCGTTGTTTTGAACTTGACTTTGCTTTTATGCCACTTCATATAAGAAAACGCCATTCAAGTCGGTTTTAGGTCCACTTTTATTATTTTATACCGCGGATGCAAAACTCGTCATGACAAAGAAAACTCTCTGGACCGTGGCGACCACGGTGACGCTTTTCTTCTGTTTATGTTTTCCAACTTTTAAAGCAGAAACCTCTTCTTGTCACGGAGCATACGACCTTTACTTTGTTTTGGACCGGTAAGTACTCGCAAATTTTGATGTTCCTCTGAATTAAAAGTCATCAAGACAACATATATCTATGTATATAACGCAGAGAGTTACTGTTTATAATGATGTATGTCTTTTACATCACACCAAACTCGTGTTTGTAGGTTAAGGTGTGAATAGCGTCCTATAACTGTGTCAGCTATTCTACAGTTTGACCTGATTTTACAGCTGTGCCAGACACTGCTGGCGACCAGCATCGTTCAGAAGCCACACAACAAGACACTTAGCTGAAATAAAAGCCTTTTGAGACTTGAGACACAAGCAGTACAGGGAGATTGGTGATTGCAGAAGTAGGGTATCTATCTATCTATCTATCTATCTATTCTCTTTTTGTGTATCTAATTGATGTACACAAGTTCAAGAAGACTGTCCGTACCTCTTTTCTGTCTACATATCTGTATACATCTATTTAACTGTCTGTCTTTCATCTGCATGTGTACTGTTTCATATTAACTTGCACTCCTTTCAGAATCTTTTGTTGGCCTCTGTGCAGTCCTCCATCCTGTCTGGGAATATTACAGGATGATGGCACAGATATGCTCTTTCCTCTTTTTGAAGCTCTTGGAGCAGCACAGACTCAGCCATGCATAATGACTGGTCAAGACCAGCAGATCCGGCCTCAATTGTCGGAAATCAAACTTCCCTTCACTGGTCCAGACCGTGTCTCTTTCTGGATGTGGTTTGATGTTCTCTGATGGTCCCACTAATGCTTATCTAGATTCTCTGACCTTGGCTTGAGACAAGGAGAAGACAATGCATAAAAAAAATATTTTTTAATTACCTATCGCTTGTGTTTTATGTTCTCAGCACATGCAGGGGACTATAATTATTAGTTCAATTACCTTGTAGCTATTACATCAAGGGCACATTTTATACACTTTTCTCATTAAAGACACTGCGTTGCATTGAGGTTAATGTCACAGAAGTCCACTTCCACTTGAATTGATTAATGGATCATGCTGTGTACATATTTTGCAATAATAGAATAGAAATCAAAATGATTATGAAATCATCGTAGTATGCATGTATACAGTTGCATTCTGGTTAGGCATTCATTATACCACAGCTTCATTTGATGTTGATTTGTGTGGTGTTCTTTGTATTTGCTATAGACCTTTTTGGCTTTGGAGTCCTAGCTTGGCAAAAGTTGTTATTTGTTACCTGTCCCTTTACATGCCAGTTTAACATGATTTGAACACTATACCAAACAGAAGTGTTAGCATCCTTGTAATAAGAGCCAATAAGAACAATAAATTGACATAATAGCTCATATAAACCCACAGAATAATTGTAAATGCTTATAGTTTTCTTTCTGTTCAAGAAAATGACAATACATTTTATGCTTTGTTGGATGTTTTCATCTTGTTTATCTGCTAAAAATCTTAAAATGTAAAAATTATTTGTTTTATTCAGCCAGGCTTGTTAATAGGCTGATATTTGACAATTTAGAGATGATCAGCATTGCTTAATAACAATGTTAGCCTGGCCAGTTAATATGTGCCACTTTTGTTATCTACCAACAGTCTTGTTAATGGGCAATAACATTTTCTGTTCTGGAATTACACTGCCATTCAAAAGTTTGGCGTCAAGTGAGATTTTTAAACAAAATAAATGAATTTATTCAAAAATGAAGCATTAAATGGATAGAGGGTGACAGCAAATACAATTAAAATGTCACAAGGGATGACTATTTCAAGTAAATTCTGTTCTCTTGTACTCTTCTTTTCTTCTGAGAATTCCCCAAAAATATTAAACTGAATGATTTTGTCTGTCTCATTTGCTGTTGTGTATAAACTGGGCATCCATCACTGACCCGCTAGTTTGATGTTTGGTGTTGGAATGATGCAATGGTTTAAGGACTGAGTGTTACTGGGAATTGAAGTGGTTAGTAGTTATAATGAAGTGCCTTGACTCCTACTGTATGTTGCTGTTATAGCACAAGGTCTGTCCTTAGCCCATTATAGATAGACATAATTTCACTGAGACAGTGTTAACACTGAAGTGTAACTGACTCAGCAGCTTGTTTGCCACAAAGTAATCAACAGCACAACTCTTACAATAACCAGATGGGGACATTTCACTTAAGGGTTTAAATATAATTGCCTCAGGCTGGTTTTTCTTTAGTGCTGACTTTGTTTTTCATGTGCTTCCTTACAGATCTGGGAGTGTTTCGAACGACTGGAATCAGATCTATGATTTCGTCAAAAATCTTACAGAGAAATTTGTGAGGTAAATATTCTAGCTTTATGCTTCCTGACCAGTTGCTTGTACAATTCTGAATGTATCTCCCAATTCACCACATCAAAGAAAGTCATCCATCACTTGAATCAAAGCTGAATGCTAACTTGGCTACACAGCAGCTACACATCCGGTTCTGACATGGCCCTACAAGGGAGAGGGGGAGGAAAAAACAAAACAAAAAAAAACAAATTGTATATAAAAAAAAAAATCGCCAGATGAATGTGAACTTATGTAACGTTGACTCAATGTATGTGCCAGTACAGACGGTAGCGACCTAGCCAGAAGAAAGCAGTCTGCTTGAGAAAATAGCAAAGGGAGCAGGTGGGAGTGGGTGGCAAGGAGGCTCAGTCTTCTGGGCTGTGAGAATGGCCATTTGCACTGCAACCATCCAACAGCACACTTATCCCTCACACATGAAAGGAGAAGACGCAGCCAATGTACTTTAAGTCATGAGTGCAGGAAGACCAGTGCAGTCTGCCATAGACTTTGATGGTCTTCTGTTGTGCCATGTGGTCTGCATTGGCTCTTTTTAGGGTGCTTTTTTAAGCATTGAATGGACCTGCTGTATGAATATATCATTTAGGAATTACCTTGAAGAGCTGTGTAAGGGGTTCCTGTATTGTCTGATGGTGTAATATGGGACCAAGCTGAAAGACGATACAAGTAGGTTATAGTACATCTGTATTCTTTATATATGCAGGAACATTCAAGGTAATTTCCTTTTCAGGACAATTTTTTGTTCACGCAGGGTATCGTAATACCATTTGGCGAGTCATTGTTGCATTTATCACTTAATCAGCCTGCGAAATGTTCAGTTCCCTTGCCTCTTCTTCATCTGATTTTTGTTACCAAAATTTGGCTGCTTGGATACATTTGGATATTCTCACTGAGTATCTCATGTGGGGGATGGTTGTGGATTGGATGTCATGAGTGAGAAAAAGCAGCACCTCTCCTTATGCTCAGTCCTGAGACCTGACTTAAAATGTGTAGAGGAACCCAACATGTTCCTATGCTGTGTCAGCTTTTGTGACAGAAGGTTGCGAAAAAGACCAACTGCTTCATTGAAATGTACTTGTCATAATCAGCTATATATTTGTTGTCAGATTATGTGTCGGTTCTTTCTGAGAAAAGAATGCTGTTCCAATATCATTAGGAAATAAAATCCTTGGTTTTGTAAATGCATGATAGCATTTCAGTTAAAACTGTTAAAAATGGTTTCAAGTTAATTGGAATAAAACTGAAATAATGTTAGCTGAAAATTTTGAACTAAAACTAGAAATGTTGCATGGGCAAGTAACTAAAATAAAATGTTTGTTGAAGTACTAAAATTATTACTAAGACTAAAACTGAAAAGAAAAAAATTGAAGCTAAATGAAAATTATATATAAAACATAACAAAATTACTAAAACTTTTAAACTAAACACTGGATAGCTTGAACAGTGAAATATACCAGTTTTAATGTCATTGTTCTACTTTTTAAACTTGACATATGTCCAAATGCACGTATTGCATCACTGTTATGCAGAAAAGTTGTGTGGCTGCTTGTTTGTCCTTCTCTTATTGCAAAAGGTAGGAGGAATATATATAGGAAGTGACCGGTATAAATATAATCACAAAAAGGATGTCTGCATGAATCACACATGACAACCTGTTTCCTTTCTGCATATCAATTAATCACTTCCTTGATCCAGGCAGAAGGGGTTTTTTTTCTCAGTCACAAGCTTTTATTAGCTGATCACACTGGCTATCTTGCGCACAAACCAACTCTTATGGTTGTGAAAGGAGCATGAGGACAGCTAGACTTTCTACATCACAGGATTTCTCCGCATCATTTGCAGAAATGCTTGTGTTTGGCTGTTTTAATAAAGTATAAAATCAAGTCTCTTCTGAAGAGCTTTTTGCTGTGGTTAAAAAAAAACATGTGTCCAACTAGAATTTGCAGCAGGGCTTGATTTTCCACTTGACATTCATTTACAACGTTTTTCCATTTTTCCCATTTTTTCATTCCAGTCCAAATATGCGAGTGTCCTTCATAGTGTTTTCATCGAAAGCAGAGATTGTGTTAGAGCTCACTGGAGACAGGTATGGAATCAGGCTTGCATGAAGTGTTTGCAGTCTCTAGTGTAAGAAAGCTAGTAATACACCATGTGTTTGTGTTGTACAGTACATTGATATTTAAGTAAATATTTTAGTAAATATTTATGGTGCAAAGGTTTCATTCATATGTAGATGGTTTTACATGACACTTATATTACCATTACATCTTATTGTGAGCATAACATTTAGTAGAATATTTCTTCCATGTACACTTATTCGAATATTCCTTGCTTTACATGACCAGGGCAAAAATAAATAAAGGACTGAGGGATTTAAATGCAGTCAAACCAGCAGGAGAAACCTACATGCATGAAGGAATTAAAAAGGTAAATAAAATTTTTTATGATAAACAGTGGAATGGAAAAATTTATTTGTATATAAAAAAACTAAAATTTTGTGCAGAAACAGGAGTGTAAATATACTCAACTGACTGTATTTCCTGGACTTTAGTCTTATACTGAAATAAACAAAATAAAACATGGTAAACTCTTTGGTTCCCCTAATGACCAAGATAAGGTATAATTACATCTTTCTAAGTAAACACACCACATTCAATGACCTGAATCTGGCCTCAAGATGAGTTCTGTGTCTTTGAAACAATGATAGAAAATTTAAATGTGTATATGGGTTTATATCTACATTTTTATACATCCCTGCAGTTTTTGAGAAAATAGATATGTTTCTACTCGCACAACTATCACTCCCTTTCTCTTTCCAGGCAACTGAACAAATGAAAGAACAGCTAAAAAAGTCCTCTAGCATCATTGTAGCTTTGACTGATGGAAAGCTTGAACCATATATCCATCTACTCACTAAGGAGGAGGTGAGCTGGTATCTAAAATCATACATATTTTTCTTAATTTAACAACTGCGTTGTTATGACTGTTTGTTGTGTATATAGGCTGATTTAGCAAGGATGAATGGGGCCCGTGTGTACTGTGTCGGCGTAAAGGACTTTGATGAAGAACAGGTAATACTGGCATTCCAGCAGATTTTAAAATATTGTGAATGCTACACAGAAAACATGTGATTAACTCTTAAAAATTTCTCTAAAGCTTCACCAAGTGCAGGGTTTTTTTTAGAGTTGCTTGTAATTACAGGACTGCTGCTCTCTTCCTGTTTCTGTAGCAATGACAAACTGAGTTAAAGGAGAGGAAATGTCAGTACATTTTTTTTTTTCTTGCTTTGCTATCAGCCCTGTTATTATTATCTCTCTGTTTGCCTGCCAACAGCTCGCCGATGTGGCTGATACCAGAGAGCAAGTGTTCCCAGTCAAAGGAGGCTTTCAAGCTCTCAAAGGCATTGTTAACTCGGTAAGTTCCCCATGCCAGGGACACCCATCTCTAAAGGTGTGATAGAGGCCTCTAGTCAACTAAAAGACAGATCCATTCTTTGAACTATTAAGTAGTCATTTAGCTGACAATTTCTTCAAAGCGACTTACAGTAGACTTCTTATGTGAACAACCCCCTGGAGTGGAGCAAAAAGGGGTTAACTGCTTTACTCAAGGGAAGAATGCTGAGAGAAACGACACCAAGCACATCACCCCAACTGAACTAGCATATACAGCCCTTTTTGGGAATATTTCCTGTGATCTTTGAAAATGGACGTATTTTTGCAATTAACAAACTGGGTTCAGACAAATGCTTGATGCTAAAACAATCCAGATTTGTTATTTAACTACAGCAAAGTTTCCCAAAAGGCTGTTTTGTAAAGCATTTTTATAAAATACAGCTTTTAAAGCTCTTTGTTGTCAATTGTAGTTGTTTTTTGAGAAACATTATGTTTGTATGAACTTGCCAAAGCAGTTTTGTCCTACACAAGTCTGTTGACAATTCTTTTGTGATACTTTCCATTTGGCACTGAGGAAGAGCTTTTGTCTCAAATGCTTTGCACTTTTTTACGGCCTCTGATTAAGCATTATAATAAAGATTTTTTGAAAAGGTTTTGCCCTGTGTTTGACCGTGTGCGGATAGTTTATTCTGCTAGCTTCATGCTATTTTTGGATCTACGCGCTGGACTGACTTTGTGACTTGATATTGGACATCTGGCGCTGCTCCTCTTCTGTGGCTTTATGATGCTTTGAAATTTTCTTCAGCAAGTATTTTTCAGTGCATGTTTGCTGCTTTATGTGCATGGCATTTACCAACGATACGGTTTAACATTGTAAACATGGTACGAACACTGAACATCATCTGCCATCAGTAAACCATCACTAGCTGATGTCAGTGTTTTTGTATACGGGTGTGTTGTTTTGTGACCACAGGAATCAATTTCTGGTATATTTTTCAGGTTTAGTCATGCAAGACAAAAGACAGGACCTCCTTGTAATTTATTGTTTTGTCCAGAAAAGAGATATGAAAAAAAGACCAATCATCTTGTTACTGAGTAAGCTTGTTTGGCCAAATGGAGTTTCAGGCCCAGCAAAACACAGGCATTCTCCAGTGATTAGTAATCTTGGAGGCTGGGCTAGTTGGCCTCACGTTGCTCTCTGCTCAGATTTCCAGGATTTGAGATCATCTGTGCAGCTTTGCAGTCCGGGCTTTGCAAAAAGCAAAAGCCTAAAGAATAGATTTATCCAGGCCTAATTAAATATTCCAAGAATATTTTGATTGATGGCAGAGAAAGGTTTTTTTTTTTGTGGCTTTATTTAAATATTTGCATATGTACACTACCGTTCAAATATTTGGGGTCATTATTATTATTACTATTTTTTAGAAATTAATACTTTTATTCAACAAGGATGCATTAGTGTATATACCTCCTCAAAACGTAGACCTGTACTGGAGGCAATGGACCTTGCTTAAATAGTCAGAAAGATCTAAGTGTAAACACGGGTTTCTGAGTATAAACCTAAATATTGACCCAGTTGTGATGTGAAAGGGAAGGATTTTGTGGACAGATGAAGAGGTCAAGAATATTTTGAGCCAAAAGCAGTACTTGTAGTGCTAATTCTTACAGCGCTGACACCTCATGTACAGCATATTGTGAAGTCATGGCAATATCATGCTGTGGAGCCGTTATTAATCAGAAGAATATCAGAGCACAATACTGGAGAAAACCATAGGAAATGCTATTTAAATCTGACTGCAGCTGAAAACACTTTCAGCAGGATGGTGATCCAAACACAAGGCCAAGGGGGAAAAAAAGATTTAAAAAGTACAAGTTCATGATCTCAGTTCCACTGAGAATTTGTGTTACTGCACGAATGTCATGATTAACCAATCGGAATTGAGTATTCTAAAGATCTGTGTACTAATTATAGATAGATGGCTGCTCTAATGCTTCGTCTATTCCTATGTGTGTATAGATACCTGTCAGAGAGAATAAGTTGAAACGTCTTGCGATGAACCTCCCTTGTATCGTGCCATCTCATAACTCATTAAAGAGCCATAAAGACCATCCTGAGTATCTTTCAGCCCTGGCGTTCAGTCGGTGTTCCTTCTCCCCTTTAATGATAGCAGAGTTTATCAGGTGTCATATTCAATCAGCCTGTTTTATACGTGTCCTCCACTTCAGTCTGAAGCCTCATCTCCACTGCAGGCGATTTGGAGGGTCATATCTTTCTGTTAATGTTGTCTTTTTGCCCGTTGTGTACAGAGATTTGCATAGTTTGTCCTCTGTTGATTTATGTGGATGATGGGAGAAGAGATGGTGGCCTCTCACAGGCCTGTTTATATGATAATGTCAGCCTGCGGTCTCTAATAGAGCTGAAGAGGGAAAATGGCACCGCATAATTTCCCCATAACGGCTGACACGGGTCTATCCCACACCGCACTGTATGTGATGCGTGTCTCATTGAGCTTGATTTGGCATAGCAAACATCCCCAGCGTGAATGCTAAAGACCCGGACACTGTGATAGCTGATACAGTGATTCAGCAGTGACAAGTACTGGTTTGAATACATTTTTTTTTCATAATACAGATCCTCAAGCAATCATGCACGGAGATTCTAACAGTGGAGCCGTCCAGCGTCTGCGTGAACGGTAAGCATTTCAAGGACTTTTACAGCTGTCAGGGTGGATGCAATTGTGTTTTTGTGTGTGTGTGCGTGTATGTGGTCGTTGATTTGGGTGAACGCCCAGGATTGCTTCTCATTATGTTCTCATCTGTTTTACATACCTCAGAGACCTTTGACATTGTTTTGAGAGGGAACGGGTTCACACTGGGGAGGCAAACAGAAGGAGTGATCTGCAATTTCGTAGTGGATGGAGTTATTTACAGTAAGTATGGTTATACTGCATATACTGACCTCAACCTTATTTGATATGCTACTTCACTGACAAAACCAAATGATTTAAGAGAGGTTTTGTGTCTGAAAGTCAGTTGTGTCAGACAGGAAGTGACAAGCAGGCCACACCCAGGATGCAACGCACCTAAGATGCAAGTTTTTTTGTGGCTTAACAGTCACATTAGGTTACTAACGACAGAATAAGATGCTGAACTACATCAACAAAGATTTTAAGCAGTGATAGCGGGGCCCACCGAGAAACTTCAAGGAGGGCTGCATGATGACTTCAAATTATTTAATTTAATAAATTAATATAATTATCATTCTTTCAATAAACTTAAACATACAGTCTGACTTAATTTGCTGAAAATAACTATTCACTTAGTTACATCAACACATTGTTTCTATTAATGTATTATGGTTTTATGTAATACACTTTATCAAAAAGACTGAAACTCATTTTTTAAGGGAAATTCCACCCAGAAATGAAAATTTGCTCACTCTCATGTTGGTCCAAACCTGTATGATTGACTTCTTTTTTTTTTATGTGGAACACAATGAAAAATATTTTGAAAAATGTCTCTGTGGTTCATACTGTTAAAGCCAAGGGGCTCCTAAACCACACTTGACTTTCATTGTCTGGACACTTTCATTGCATGGATATTTTTCAATGCATCTTCATTTGTGTTTCACAGAATAAATAAAATCAAATAGGTTTGGCATGATAAAAGTCTTACATGTATAGTTTTCCATAAGCAGCCACATGCTATATAGCCACTGCAGTCAGCTCTCTAGTTCTGTCCCTTACAGACTGTATGGTGTTTCCTTTGAGTGCAGTATCATTAGATGACAGATCCACATATGACATCCACTTGTTTGCGTGCTGCTTTTGTAACCAGACAGGAAATACATAAATGCTGAATTCTGGGTGCCTTCAGCAGTGGTGCAACAAAGAAATCATTTTCAAGATGAGATGAAAAAAAATGTCACTCTTCCCGAGCACACGTCAGCAGTTCTAGTGAGCCTCTACATCATAATAAATGGCCTGGCAGTACTCATCTTGGGGGGAATTTGCTCTCCAGCTTGTTTGGCTGGGGATCATAACACGATCAACTTTCTGTTCATTTTGCAGAGGTGAAGCCAACCAAGGTGAAGAATGACTATGTCCTGTGTCCTGCTCCAGTTCTGTATTCAGTGGGACAGTGAGTATTCATGTTTCATAATGCAACAAGTGTCACTGAGATCTCCATATGTACAGAAAGCAGAGTATCTTGTGTATCGTGACTGTTACAGCCTATTACGCAATTGTGACCCATTACGATATTGTGTGATACAACGGCCTCAAATGTCATGTTACAGCATTACGTTATTGAAATATCCGAGAGACGCAGCACCCTGTTTAGATCAGGGATTAGCTGTGAGCAGCTTGTGTGAAATGATGGTCTGACTTAACCGGGACATTTGATCCACTATTCGTGGTCGCCATTCAAAAGGCTTGCTTAATTAACTCTTGGCTGGCAACTGTGACCCATTAAGTAGTTTGCTGCTATGAACGGCTAGTAAACACATCTGGTGGAGGGCTTTAAAAGGATGTGTGACAGATGCACCGATTCCCTTTTCCACGCTCCCATTTAAATAATTCACCGCATACTGACAATAGGCTACCACAAAACACCTGCAACATCGTTGAGTGCTAGAAATGTCTCTCTCAGTCTTTTTCCTACCATCTCTGTCCGTTTTCTACCCATCTGTCCAGTTTGCACTCAGAAAACAGCCTGCTTTTTGTTTGGAAGCATATCTAGGATATGCCTTCATTTAAATAATTCACCGCATACTGACAATAGGCTACCACATAACACCTGCAACATCGTTGAGTGCTAGAAATGTCTCTCTCAGTCTTTTTCCTACATCTCTGTCCGTTTTCTACCCATCTGTCCAGTTTGCACTCAGAAAACAGCCTGCTTTTTGTTTGGAAGCATATCTAGGATATGCCACCTAGAAAACAAGTAATTTCTATCATATATGCAAACATGCTGTATATGAGTTGTCCTGAACAATCCCTAAAGAGCAGACCACTAGGGAATATCAAATAGTGTCTTTTTGGGATTTAAAGGGTCTTTGTGGTTCAGTGACGTAGCGCCAGATATCAGGGTCTCATCTGCAACGACAGCTGTTGGTTCGTCAGACCAGGATCTAGGGCATCTGTCAGCCGGCCCCGTCCCTTTGAGTCTTTGGCTGGAGGGGGTGAGGAACTTTTGTCTGGCAGCAGCACGTCCTCACCTGCGTTTTCACAACAACAACGGAGTGAGAAAAATAACTGAGGGACAGACCTGACACCTGCCTGCAGCGCGAGTGGTGGAACGTGCCTCATCAATAATCAATCTGATCTGTCAGGCCGCCATTTTAGTTCCATCTGCACAGGGGGTGGGAGATGCGCCCAGATAACATGGCAGCGCTGCCTCCACCAGAGCTCCTCTCACTCTGCTAGAGATAAAATTATGGTCACTCTTTCTAAAATGAAAGGCAATGAAGTGCTGAATGGTTTATTTATTTTTGAATGAAATTTTGATGTTTTCTTATCAGGTTATGTCATATTGGATGTTTTCACCAATGCTGGAAAGCTGCTTGCCAAGCTACAAGTTAATCATAATTTGTTCTTGATCAGAGCTCCTCTCACTCTGCTAGAGATAAAATTATGGTCACTCTTTCTAAAATGAAAGGCAATGAAGTGCTGAATGGTTTATTTATTTTTGAATGAAATTTTGATGTTTTCTTATGAGGTTATGTCATATTGGATGCTTTCACCAAAAAGCTGGAAAGCTGCTTGCCAAGCTACAAGTTAATCATAATTTGTTCTTGAATACACTACAGTCAGCGTATTCTTGTGGAAAAGTAGTTAGTTATACTACTGTTCAAACTGTTGGGTTTGGTAAGATTTTATAAATGTTTTTGAAAGACGCCTCTGCTCACTGAGGCTGTTTATTTGATCAAATATACAGCAGAATTATTCAATATTATTACAATTTAAAATAACTGTTTTTTCAGGAGTCATTACTCCAGTCTTTAGTGTCACATGATCCTTTAGAAATCATTCCAATATGCTGATTTGGTTCTCAAGACACTTTTCTTAAGTATCAATATTTTTGTGGAAACAAATACTTTTTTCATGATTCTTCAATTAATATAAAGTTCAAAAGAGCAGCATTTATTTGAAATAGAAATTATATAATGTAACATTATAAATGTCTTTACTGATGCTTTTGATCAATTTAATCCATCTTTGCTGAATAAAAAAAATAATAATCTAACTGACCCCAAAATGATAAAGTATAGTTAATGCTACATGCTACTAACAAGTAGCAGCTAACCAAATTTAAACTATTTAAGGTTGCAATGTTTTTTAATGTAACTGATATCAGGTGTAATTGATTTATTGTAATCAGAGCAGCTTTAACCGGGCACAAAAACAATTCAGACATGGAATGAAAAAATAATAGCAGCATTTCATTTCAAAACAATGTGATGTCATTACTTGGCAGTGAATCCAACAGATTTAACTTTGCTCAAACTTCAGTCAGGCCTGTTTGCCACTGTGTTGCAGTCTGTGAGGCCTGATGCATATGTTAGGCCTTCAATAATGCCCTGAGTGACACCTGTGTCATCCCATTCAGCTACGTCACTTTCAGTTTCTGTCACCATGTGTTTTGTGAAAAGAAATCAAACTCACACACCACTCTGTCTACTGTGGTGTTATGAGGGGCCTTCTGTGACTGCAAGAGCACTTTTGTGTCCATGTGCTTGACTCATTCTGCTGAACTTCTGTCACATTTTCCTCTACTCTGCATCTCTAGACAAAAGCAAACCATTAGATGAGGCAACTTTATTTAGCATGGGATTCACCTGATTTAAAATATAAATGTAATTGGAAACCTTTTGGAAATGCCTTTTAGCGTTTACCACAGAGTTTCCTCTTTTGATATGGGACATTCTGGCAGGCATTGTGGTTTCAGAGTACCTCTGAAGATAAATAAATCAGCCTTCATTGATTGTGGTGTTTGTTGCCAATTGCAGTGTGTCCAAGAATACTGATTAAATGTAATCAGTTCTCACTGAGCATCGCATAAATATTCCTCCAGAACTACTTTGTGTCCAACAAAGACTGAACAAAGGTGATCTGAGGAATTTTAGAGATTCAAGTGCAAGGAAATACAATCCTTCAGTGAATCGGTTCTCCTCTCTTCACCAAACATACAGATATCCAGCTTGATTAACAACCTGCCTCCCATTTGCATGTATTGAGTATGTCAGCTGAATTAGCCTCTCCTCTCATCCATTCAGCACACGGACCTAGTTAACATGCAAAAAACCCTTTACAAGCTTCCTGCAGCCTCAGGACTAGATTTTCAAAAGACTATGACAATTCAAGCTAATATCATGTAAAAACCCTCAAGAGACCAAAACACTACATTACAGTGCAGTACTGTGACAGATTTTAAAGTGTGGGTTAGGCTGTAATGTAAAAGTTAGTTCTTCTATTGTTTTTTGTGAAGTAACCTTGCTGTTCTCATTGGTAATACTTTGCGCAAGACCCAAACATTAGTGAAATCTTTGTTGTTCGCTGTAGATCACTCTTATTCTGCAATGTCTCTATTGCGTCGTCATTGACTCTGCAGACAGTGGTCTGTCTTTTTTACATATTCTCTCATTTTGGGAAGGATCTCAGGCGTTCAGTCAGTCGATTTCCTGCTTGAGGATTCTCATTAGCCCCATGGTAATTGTCTCCTGCATAATAGACATATGGAAATTACAATGCCGTTCATCATTAGTGCCTTAATTGCAAGCCACCTTCAACTCCCTTCTCAGTAAATAAGAGAGAATTTCAACTCAAATTCTGTAGGAATTAAACTTCAAATAATCTTCATGACACCAGTAAGCATCACTAGTTTTGAATTTTTTTATGTATTTGTAGTTTATTTAGTTTATTAGTTTTAATTTGGAATTCATATTGAATTTTATTTCTCTTTTTTGCCTATTTTGGTTTACTTTCGAAATGAGTTTAAAGTAATTCCCTTTTTCTTCCATTTAATCTGTAAAACACTCCCTATTATGACGCACTTATTTTATCAGACATTACATCATATTCTAAATAATAAATAGTTGCTTCTCCATTTCTATGGACCCTTTTCACAAGACTGTGATGACGCGTTTAACGGTCATCAGCATTGTAAATCCTCAAGTTTTTCATATTTGTATTTTTTTTTTTTAAATGTATGTACATTTATAACACTATTCTTTGTATTATATCACCTTTACATCAAATTACAAAAAAACAGTTAATGCTAATGCGAGGGTGTTTCTAATGCAGTGTCTATGGGAGGGACGGTACATTTGACATCGTTCTCTCTTCTGACAGCCGTTATCAGTCTCTCTCAATTTTTTCCCTTTTATTGAAAGTCATGAAAACACTATCGTGGAGTTTTTCTTTTGCTATTTGAGCAAATGGGAATGCAAAAAATATATTTGTGGTACTCTCCATTCACTGCTCTTCAAGTTAACCCAACTATGACGACTTCCGCTGCTGAGAAACCCGGAAATGTGAAAAAGGTCCATTGTAACTGTCGTCATAGTACAGAAACATATTACAGAAAAATCTCGGCAAGTAAAGCAGAATATACAATTGTGCTTAAAGAATAACTATGTCATTCTTATTTTCAAACGTTATTCAAGGCAGTGTGTAATTACCATTACATAAAAAAAACATTCAAATGTCCAATTATGCGTTCTCTTCCTACAGACAAATGGAGGTTCTGATCAGTTTGAACAATGGCACATCGTATATCTCCAGTGCTTTCATCATCACTGCCTCCACATGTGTAAGTCAAACATGAGATCAGAATTTTCGAAAATGTCTCTTCAGCTTATATACTTATAACAGAATTTAGATTGATTTTATATTACATGCAGTATTTCCTTTGTTTCTTTCTGTTTTCATAACATTTTGCTATTATCCTGTTTTTTAAGCTAACTGTAAGTGGTTCCCTCTCTCATTAGTCGGACGGCACAGTGGTGGCCATTGTGTTCTTGGTGCTCTTTCTCCTGTTGGCTTTGGCTCTGATGTGGTGGTTCTGGCCTCTCTGCTGCACCATTGTAAGTGTCACATCGAAAGCCATATGGGCATGTTGCACTGCTGGACTGTGATTGGTCGATTCCACAGCTGTGCCACTAGTTTTTAGCCCCTCGTGCGAGTGTCAGATGGCTAAGTACACTGACATTTTAGGATTTAATTATCAGCTCTTTATCATCCGAACCACATTTAAAGGGTTGTCCCGGCTCCACATCTGTCCGTCAGGTAGTTTGAGAACCTAACAGCCCAGCGTGTCATTTGTGTAATGCCTTATTTATCCCACAATATGTCTGGCAAATATAAATCTGCTGTTTAATTACTCAATAAAAAAAAATAATCCTTTAGCACAAGGTTCTCTCCGAAGTTATGTTAATCATCACACGCTGTGGCCCCACGGACGGATGGGACTGGATTTTCCAGTAGTCAGTTGTGAGTCAAAGAGCAATTAATTAACTCTAATTGATCATTTTCCATCATTATAATGGTAACAATGGCGAAATGGTATCAGTGCGCTTTAATGTGAATGAAACAGCTGTTCTACCCATGATATGTGATGATTAAAAGGCATTTTTTCCCCTGAAAACTAATTTAGTAAATGCTTAACCTGCAATGGCAGTGTATCCATCTTTCATGTTTAATGAGACAAGGCTTGCTTCCATTTTGGAAAGCATCTGCAATGGAAGGGGTTACATGGTTGACAGGTGAAACATGGTCACATCCAAGACGTTTTATCTAGAATGTTGGAGTCTTATATGGGTCATCTATGCTGAGCTTTTCGAATTACATATGTAGCCATTATATTGGAGTAGTTTGCCCTTTTCACCTCAGTGACTGGGACTGGTAAATGACATTGGATTCAAACATAAACTTTTGTCTAGTAACACATTTATCCATCATGTTGAGTGGTTAGATGTGTCAGGTCAGTTGATAAGCAGTTTGCTGAGCGATCACTAATATGACGACATTTCCAGTGAGGAAGACGTCTTGACTGTGAGTGAAGTCACCTGCTGAATCCAGCGTAGTGTATCTCGTGACAGATATGCAGTCAGAGAAAGTGCTACAGGAAGACATCTCACCCTGTTAACTCTCCTCTCCTTTGCACTGGGGATCAGCCTGGAGTGAAGCCCAAGTTTCCCTTCTGCCTTTCATTGCAGCTAATTAATTCCTCAGGACTTTATGATTGGGGGATTGCAGGGGAGCGTTGAATCTCGTCCAATTAATTACGAGGTAAACGGACCACTGTGCTCACCCCAAAGACTCCCCTGTCAACAAGTTGATTTTTGGGCTTTATTTTGCACCAAGGGCCTACAGGGATAGTTTACAAGCAGATCCCTGTAATCAGTTGTGGTGGTGCCAGGCTCCAGTTGTTCAACTGCGAATCAAGTTTGCTTGATAAAATTTAGAATTATTCTCTTTCTTTTCTCAGGTTATTAAAGACCCACCCCCTCAAAGACCTCATCCACCTCCGCCTCCGCCTGTAAGTTTAAAAAAATATATATATATATGTATATGTGTGTAATTTTTGTATAACTTACAAAAAGGTTTATTTACTGTTCCTTCGAAGGTATTATTTTTAAAATGCTAAAATAGTCAAAATTTCAAATGTTTGGGGTAAGATTTATTTTTTATTTTTTATTCAAATTTTATTCAGCAAGGATGCATTAAATAGATCAAAAGTTACAGTAAAGACATTAATGTTACTATACATGTTTCAGATAAATGCTATTCATAAAAAGAGTTTTGAAAAAAGTGTATCAAGGTTTTTTTACAAAAATAATTAGCAGCACAACTTGAGCACCAAATCAGCATATTGGCATGATTTCTGAAGGATCATGTGACTCTAAAGTCTGATATAAGAAAATCCAGTTTTGGCAGCACAGGAATGAATCATGTTTTCCAAAAATATAATTCCTAAAATATTGAAGTCCTAATTAAAATCTCAATGACCCCAAAATTTTGAATGGTAGTGTGCATAAATATAAAAGTCACACGTCTGCTGTAATTGCAATGCTTTCTTTGAGGCTGGAAGTATCAAATTGATCAATTTTCTGTCCATATTAATTTTTTTCAGAAGCCAGAGCCAGAATCAATACCCAAGAAAAAGTGGCCAACCGTGGATGCATCTTATTATGGAGGAAGAGGAGCTGGTGGAATCAAACGCATGGAGGTGAACATCGAGACATTACACTTTAATGATGCTTATAATGATTTGCAGCCCCCTGCTGACAGGAAAGGTTTTGATGTCATCACAGCTGTCTTTGAGCATTTAGCAGTTGTCCACCACCTCCACTCTCTCTCTCAGGAGTGTTGATGACCTGTCTGACATTATTAATGCTTTGTATGCTTATTAAGTCACGTATTGCTACATCAACATGTTTCTTTTTCTGACAGTTTTCATAATTCTAGGACTAACATAAAATTGTAATTTATACAACAGTTTTGAACAGTTAATGAGCTGTGCAGAGTTCAAGTGGGGGTGTGTAATTTTGCCTGGAGGCTGGAGCTAGAATGTTTTTGGAAAGTTGGACTGTCCTGGTTTTCTTTGGCTTTCTCTTTCTTTTTCTATCCTGGTTTTCTTTGGAGTGAGAGTTTAGCAGAAAATGGAAAATCTGGAGTGGACATGGAGTAGGGTGCTTTGATTGGGGTCACACATAGGGATACACAATATATTGATACCATATTGGTTATCGGTTGACATTAGAGTTTTTTTTTTCTTTTTTCAATTTGCCAGTATCAGTCGATATTGGATATTTAATTGTACTTTTTTTTTTGCTTTCATCTAAACCTTACCTAAAGTTATTCTTTAATAATAGAATAATTGTATAACACCGTTAAATTTCATTTTTAATAAATTTCAAAGATACAGGAATATTTAAAAAAATATTAGTTTTTATATTGTACATGATAATGTTACATTGACATTATAATTGCCTAAATTGACTTGTAGCATTTAAACTTTGCATTACCTGGTGACATGCAACACTTTGACTTCATTTGGAAATATTTTTATTGGTGTGAGACCCCCCCCCAAAAAAAAATTAGCAGGTCAAATTTGATCTGAAATGTAAGTTACTTGATATTAACTGATATTAAAATGTTTAAAGAACTGCAAAATAACTTACTCTTGTTCAGTACAGCAGCACCCCAGCTCATGTGATATTGCTTTATTAACATAATTCTAGGTTATATTGTTCATTTGATAAAGTCATTGGAGTCATTTGGTATGGTAGCTCTACTTGTGTTGCTTTAGATGAAATGCAAATATTAGTATACTTAACTGCTAAGGGTCAGCTATTCTTGATCATTTTGGTTCAGACCTGAATAATCAGGTGGAGGATTAATGAAGTGAGCTTGGAAAAGAAAACATATTGTTTTCTTTTGATCCACAAAAGAACGCTTGCTCTTCTTGCCCGTCTAAAAGCCTTTGTGTCTGTGATGTCAAGCTCAACACAAATCAAAGTTTCTGATATAAATCCCCTTAAATGTAGCACAGCCCCTGACTGATGGTTTTGACGTGACAGGGCCCTGCCAGTTCAGTTTCCATGATGTCCCGCTGTCTTAAGTCATGTTGACGCTGAAGGATTGAGAACTGCTGTGACGAGATGAATTCATCTTGCTGACTTCCATTCTGTCATCTGACTTTGTTCAGCTGAAATGTGCTACTTAGTTAGCACTGTATCATCTCAAAGCTGGTTTGATACACGCTCAGCCATCCTTTCTCCAAGCTCCCAAGTAAAGGAGACATCACTAAGGTTCCCTCTGAAATCTTAACTTTTCCCATGAGTGTGTAAAGCTCAGGGCTTACCGGAGCACAACTTTCTTTAATGTTTCGAAAGCTTTCATTCATCCAGACAACCTATCTCCATTTCTAAAACCATCTCAGGATCTGGGGAAGAGGTTTACCTAAGATCAACCTGCCTACTTCCTCTTTACTTAAAACACAGCCTGACATGTAAAGAGGGAAACATGGGATGCAGAGAATGTTTTATTAATTGAGAGTTGTGGCAGAATGGGACGTCCTGGGATGCTGTAGAAAAGCTGTTCTATTGATGTGTTTTTTAACCTACAGCTTGAGGAGTGCAGTTTTAATTAAGGCTTTTCAATGAGGGACAGGCATTAATTTATAAATTATTTCATGTTCTTTATATATATCTTTATTTATAGATTTAATTTATTTTAAAATGTAATGTAATCTAATATAATATAATAAACATTTCTGTGTAGGTCCGTTGGGGAGAGAAAGGGTCCACAGAGGAGGGTGCACGGCTCGAGCTGGCCAAGAATGCAGTGGTGTCAATACAAGAGGAGACAGAGGAACCCATGATCAAAAAGCCACCCGCACCCCCACCCACATACCATCGATCTGAATCCAAGTGGTATACTCCAATCAGGGTGAGTCACTTCCTGTTGCTATTGAGGCCATCTCTTCTCTCCAAAGATTAGTGGAAAGGAAATCAAGCTGAGGCCACATCTTGATATTTTTGTTTCATCATAGGGTCGACTTGGGGCACTGTGGGCTCTTCTGCGGCGACAGTATGACCGAGTTTCTCTCATGCGCCCAACTACCACAGATAAGGTAAGCCACGGACGGTTTACCCCAGTGCAGATTGCAAATATGATTCATCACCCTTACATATACTATACCAAACTAGATAATTCTGTTGCTGCAAATGAAGCATAACGGGGTATCAGTGTGTGTTGTAACAGTTCAGGGGCATGCGTGTGTGTGTTTGTGTGCGTGTTACAGTGAATATGTGTGCAAGTTTCACAAACCTTAGCTGCAAACTCTTGCAACAGGATGTGACTGTCATGAGTTCGTATTGCAGACACTTCCTCTTTTGTAACTTTGTAATGCAATAATATGTGTGTACAAACAAGTCGTATGAATGGGCAAAAAACACATTTAAGGGCCTTAAATTTAGCAACAGAATGTGCAGCTTGATTTTTATCGTTGTACAGATTACACTACCATTGAAAAGTTTGGGGTCTCCCAAGATTTTTTTATGATTTTTTTTTTCTAATCGTCAAATTAGTTGCTTGATGAAATAAATGTAGTTTTGATGATTTGACAATTAGAAAAAATGTGACTATTTTCTAATCGTCAAAGTTTTTCTAATTGTCAAATCATCAAAACTACATTTATTTCATCAAGCAAACAGTAAAATATTCTTACCATAAAAACATTTTTTTTGTTTTAATATATTCTAAAACATTTGTTAATATTACCAATATTAAAAAGGGTTGTGCTGCTTAATATTTTTGTAGATTTTTTTCAAGATTATTAGATAAATATAAAGTTCAAAAGAACAGCATTTATTTGAAATATAAATCTTATACAGCATTATAAATGTATTTACTGTCACTTTTGATCAATTTAATGCATCTTTGCTGAATAAAAACATTAAATAACCCCAAAATTTTGACGGGTAGTGTATATTAAATATGAAGTGAACTTGAGTCAAATGGATCATCCTGTTGTGAGACTAAAGTAAACAAGTCGTGCTGACAATGGGCACACTAAAATTTAACCTTTTTTCCCCCCCTAAAGTAGGGCACAGTTTGAAGTATTTGTTTGGGTTTGTTTCATCTTGAAGAAGCCCTCACCGCATGTGCGGCACTAGTGCTCCCATTAGCTACAATATCCCAGTCACGCTTGAGCCACTTGTTCTGTTTTACTTTCTTCAAACGAACTGTTAAAACCTTTGTAACTCTCAATACATGTGAGAGGAGGGTCTGGAGCCTCCAAGCGGGACCCTGGCACACTTCAGTCAGACCACAGCTCGATCGTGCAGACTTTCAAGCCCTTGATCAAGTGCACTGGGTGCAGGCATGAGCTATCAAAGCCCGAGGAGTCCCTCGCCGGAGCCAAGGTGGGCCACGTACTCTTGGCTAGAGAGAGGGGAGGGCTTTGATGCCCGACAGGAATCCTCCGGGGTCATGAATTTTTCAGCGCCGGATCCGTGGGGTTACGAGGACTCGTACAGGTGTAAGGAAGCAGGTTGTCGCAGACATCTGTTCAGCTCTGAGACCTCTCCCGGTCCCTCCCCCCACTCCGCCCACAGACAGACTGCTGGATTGTCAGCAGATGTAGTTTTTTCAAGACAGCCTGAACACTTTCTGCTCTCCCATTTTCCGCCTGAGGGGCTCCAACACCAAAGGTAGAGCGGAGGGTGGACACAGCTGCACTGCCGAACTTGCCTGGGGCACAAATAAAGAGATCTAATGTGGTTTGACTGTGTTGTTAGGGAGACCGGGGAGCCAGAAAGGCACTTCAGAGCCAGCTTAGCGCTGCAACATCTGCCGTCAAGTTTCCGGAAAGAGCGGCGGGGGACAGCAGGTAGAGAAGGTGGCAGCGCGTCAAGGGCTGGCCTATTACTGGCGGGGGCTCTTTTGAATGCACGCCCGCTGGCACTAGGTAAAAGCAGCATCGTTTAGATATGCACTCTGCGTTGCATTTCGAGCTTCTGTGTGTGATTTATTTATTTGTTTTGTGCAGTGTTAAAATACTTTTTCTTATTCCAGAGACAAGTATTAAGCCATTTGTAGGCTGATGTGAAAATACTGTAACATCACTGCAAAAAATAATTTTGTTAATAGACACTTTTTTTATTGTATTGCAAAATATCTAAATATTCTTCAAATAAGAATTTCAAGCAAATCAAATATAATCGAATAAAACTGAGAATCATATCTGATATTAATACTTGTTTTCAGACAGTATATCTTGAATTAAGTTTATTTTTATTGCCTAATTTTTTAATTGTAGTTTTATTGTTTTAAGTATAAACCTACCTATATTTAGTGATGTTTATGCTTAAAACAAAGACAAGAATGTGAGAAGAAAAAAAAAAGTAAATGAACATATAATATTCATCTAAAAAGTGTATTGTTTAAGGGATGATTATCTATTTTTATTGGAAAACAACATTAAAATACTGAAAATGTGGACTAATTTTTATTTATTTATTTTCAGCAATTGAGGTGATTTTTATTTTAATTTGTTTATTTTTGTAGTGATTGCAGTTATACGAGTTTGGGGCAAGGCAATCTGTTTAATCTGATTTAACAGTTATTACTTCTGTAGTTCCATTTAGTGATGCTGTGTGCAGAAATTAAACACTTCAGCTCTAAGGCAAAATAGTTTTTTGGTTACATTTAAATGGTTTAATTTTTTGGCCCAAAGTTATTTAGTGATGTATCCCATTGATATGCAGATTTTGTATAATTTTTATGCTGATTAAACAAGAGCACAAATTGTGGACTCGCATCTCGAGAAGAATGACAGGATAAACGAGTGCTTAATAGTATTTAATGATTTAATCTCTCACTGATTGTGTTATCACAGGATGTTATGTGACAAATACAGTGCAAATACAGGTTTTTTTTGTCTCTAGGGGAAAAAAATAAACCTTTTGTTCTGTGAACAAATACAAGCAAGCGTTGGTCTCCGTGTACAAATAAAACCTGGCAAATGTTATTTAGTTGAAACATACTCTAGATCAGAGGGCACAAGATTTCTAATTAATGGGGTAATTGGAATTAAATCAGAGCGTCACAAATAATAAAGCAGAGGAAAGCACTTGTTTATGGAAGCAGAGAGCTGACCGCGTAACGAAATATTAACATATTTATAGAAGTATGAGTCTTTCACCTTCTGCTGTAAATCTTCACATCTTCATAATTTTCTTGAGCAGCTGATTTTTTTTAGCCATTACAGCACCATTGTGTTTGTTATGACAATCGGTGTGCATCCTTTAAACATGCTTGTGTCTTTTTTCTGGTCCTCATTAGTGCTATCAGCAGACTGGCCTGTTACCCTTAACAAGCATTAAGTAGAAAGCTGACAGTTCAGTTAAAGCGCACCAGCTCCAGAGGAGAAATGACAGCTTTAACAATGACTGGCTTGCTGATTCCATGAAATGGCCCCTTGCTCTATGAACCAGGTCTCTCTCCGTCTTTTTTGGGGGGGATATGTGAAATGCAGAAAGTAGGGCAGATGTCCATGTGGCTGGTTGTAAATTCGACAATGTCTGCCGTGTTAATCTATGAGCCTCCTCAAACAGCCAGACCTCCTGGTAACAGGATTAGGTTGGGGACCCCAGTGAGCTGGTTTGGAGGGTGGCACTATGAACTAGAAACTGGGGGGCCGGGGGGGAGTGCCAAAGCGGATGACAGTAGTGTACACATTAGATGGGTTTGGAGAGGAACTAACCTGTCCACAAATGTAGATAGATAGCAGTTTTCTTATTTGCCATTGTCTCCAGTACATTAAGCACTATTAAATTACTATTAGTGTTGTCGTATAATCCTCAGCAGTGGAAATAGATTAAAATTTACTTCAAAAAACAAAGTTTTTGTTTATGAAATAGATAGATAGAAACATAGAACATGGTTTAAATTGGGGGAAAACAAACATTCAAATCATTTATGTCATTCTTACAATTTCTCTTTATGCTTTCAATTTCTTTTATAAGCTTTCAGCATGGCTTTATTTGACTTAAAACTTTCTTTCTGGATTGAAGGCTTGATCCGAGTATAACAAAATGCAATCCATTTTTTTCCCCATATTGAGGTCAAGTGTTTTAGCCTACAGAGGTTTTTATGTTAGTGATGAATGTGACAGAGGCATGTGCTCAGAAATCCTTTTCCTCCTGTATCGGAGCAAATTCTGCTGATTGGCTGGGTGGGCTGGTACCTGCCCCCTTTAGCAGACTGTTTAACACCGGCGCAAGCTTCTGTGTACTTCCCCTTAACCCCCTGATTCAATCTGAGTTGATGTCCTGCCGCGTTTGTGTGTGCGTGTGTGTGTGTGCGTGCGTGCGTGTGTGTGTGTGTGCATGTACATTCTCTTTCCCTTGGCCAGACTGGCTACAAATGTGCTCGCGTCAACGTGCGGGCCATTTCTTCATCGTCTATTAAAATCAAAGCCCCGTTGCAATGAGAGCTGGAATCTTGGCTTTAATTAAACAGCATTACTGTTAGTGTCAGACATTCCCTGGGCTGCTTTGTCGCATTGATTTTTCTCCTTGTGTGTGACAGACCTATGGAAATCATACAGGGAATCGGTAATGTATTGTAATTCACTCCTTCCCTCGTCTGATCAATTTGAATATTTAAAGTGATGAACAGTGCACGACTGTTTAAAAGGCAATTTGCGTAGATTTGTTTTAGTGGTTTGTTTTTAAGATATTTAAATATGTAAGTTTGGCAGCAATGGTCATATTAAAATAGAGTAAAAAAAGAAGAATTGAGAATTTACATTTAATACATTTTTTTAAATAATTCAATAAATCTAGCAATTAAAATGAAAGGGAGACACTTGTAAAATAGTTCAATTTAAATTAATACATTTTGTTTTTAATTTAATTTAAGAAATTAAATGAAAATAAATCTTTTGATTTTGGAAGGTATACCAATAGTAGTGATCCCGATTTTTGTGCCGTTAGAAAAATAATCTGAAAGGGAGATACTACTATAGCTTATAATACACAGTGGTTCTTTTTTCATTTTGTAGCTGTTCTTTTTCAGCTCTCTGAATGCCATGCACAGGATTTCAGCGGCTTGATTATGCTAATT